ATGCCAAATTCATATAAAAATTATAAAAATTAAATGTAGTCTCTACGTCATTAGGTATCCAAGTGGAATTGGTTTAAAGGGATAGAACCCCGCTGCAAGCTGCCAACGAAAAATACAGCTAGCATTAGGGTTCTGGATTGTCAGCGGGGGGAAGGAACAAGGGAACTAATTTTCCCAGTAATCCCGTACGGCCCTAAGACGAACAATAAACCATTTTCATAGTTTTTTTTACATGGTTTTGGAGATATACAAAACATAAAAAAATTTTAGTTTCGAATTTTTTTTTACTTTTTGGTTAAATTGGTAACTTTGATATTAAAAGGACACAAACGTCAAAATTTTCGAATTTTGGATTTTAGAACCTTGTAGCCATCAAAAGGCAACAAAAATACTATATAACATCACGGATCGGAACAGAATACATGCGGCAAACAAACAAAAATTCGTTTTCCCCTGGCTAACACCCCCTGATAACAGTCCAGTACCGAATTTAGTAGAAACTTAAGAAACCTAGAAACCTCACAGACGGCTAGGGGACTCGAAGAAACTCTAGATCGTCCTTGGCCCATAAGAGCATTACAGCCTCTCGCCAGGCAGTATTCGATTATAGTGACTTGCCCACGGGGGAACCATCTCTACCTGCTCATCCCTAGACTATAATAGCTGACAGAAAGCCCTTCCCGGAGTCCGTCACGCGACCGACTGTATGCAGGAATCCCCTGGAACGGAACGAGTGGGAACTGCCGAGGCTGGTGCACCTCCCTATAGGACTTTCAAGGGGCTGCCAGCGCATTAAAAAATGAGAGACGCGAAATGAAGGCTAGAGAAAAACCTAAAGTGATGGAAAACGCTAAACGAGGAATTTTTCGATGCTATTATGCTTTTGCTAGGTAACCTTATCAAAATTTTAGTCGTGAAATTCTGTGGGCATTGAAAACCCGATTTGAATAACATCCAATTTCAAAACATCTAGAAAACCACAATGAACCCACTTAATGCTGGCCTATAAAACTCCATGCATCAAGCAATTTCCACAACAATATCTGCCCCCGGGGACCAATGTTCGTATGCCTTGAGTCTGGGTCGACAGCTGACTTCCCGGTTTCCACCGAGTATCGGAGGCAAAAAGCTCTCGCATCACGTCATTCAAATGTTGGAATAAGGTTTTTCTAGGTTGGGAATAAACTTGTATTTAGCATAAAGTCTCAAGATTAAATTAAACTATATCGGGAGAGACAGGCTATCGAACTCCGGCAAAAATCGATTGTTTGGTTGCCTAAAAAACCTGACAAAACCTCCGAAATTTTGCACCTGTTACCCATTACTGGTGCGCCTGTACTTTCGTGCACAAATCCGCATAATCCCACTACGCAGCCCGTAAAACTATCGGAACACAAAAAACCGGTACTGGAAAGATACTTATGCAGTCTGGGTTTACTGCAGAAATTCCTAGAACGCTACCGGGACCTAGTTTCACACAAAAGCATAAAACTACCACGGCACATCGATAAACAAAAAGTCACGGCATTGACTCACGCCAGAAAGTAGACTGGGGTCGAGGACGCCGCGTGGTCCCACAGAAATCAGAGAAAAATCTCTCGACCAGCAGGTCAATGATGATGGGGAAGAGAAGGAGGAGGGCAGTGCGCGGGTTGGAAGTTGACGCAACGGTCTATCGTCTCGTTTGAGTGGCCTAAAATTGATTTTTTAAAAAAACGATTGTTATAGAAAGCTGGAATTTCGATCGGGTAACGCGCGAAAATTGCAGATCACTAGGAACATGTTTGAAAGGAAAGTATTGAATGACTTCGAGGCGAAACAACTAACTTTCTGAACGTTTTAGGGTTTGGTACCGAAATTAGAGCATCTTCAGGTTCGAAAATAAAACGCATATTTCAAAGAATAAAGCTGCTGCTTCTAAAAGCTTTTCCCAGCTGATGGACAAAATCTAATCGGCTTCTGCTTGAAGATGCAACCAAAACAATTAAAGAAATGGGGCCACGGAATTTAAAGCCGACGCGCCAGGGGGAAAGAAATCTCGGCTTGTTTACATCGAAGGGGGAGAAGGTGGGCGCGGGATGGTGTTGTTTTGGACCCAAAAGAGGGCAAGTGGATGCCTTTTTTGTGGTGGTCAAGTCAAGTCGTGTGCGCTGTGATTATTATCAAGATTGGATAGGGCCGCTGATAAGATTTGGACATAAATTACGAGCGGTCGCATAGATTACCTTCGGCATCTAGGCCCCGCTAATAATGCGATTGTTGAGTTCCCAACATTGTGCAAACAAAAATAGCGCAACATTTTTAACTTGGCAAGCCTTGAAAATCAAACAATCCCGCTAAAAATTTCGCGGTTACCTTCCCGCCGCCTTTAAAAGGCGTATTAGCTCGATTTAGTCACGTAAATCGCCAATAAAATTTAAATAAGAAAAATACATTTTGCCTGACGCAAGTCAGTCAGGATTTACTACCAAGAAACGAAAGAACTACTCCTTCTGCTCGAAAACAAGGGGCCCAAAAACCTCGAGAGGTGGGCCAACCCTGAAAAATGACTACACGCGTTCACGATCGTCCCATAATCCCCCCGCAAAAAAGCCGAGCAGAAATTTCGCGTAGATACTATCGCGATGGCTCTGGCTCGCCCAAGTCATCCTCAAATTTCTGGGATGGGGGAGAAAGAGCGCGACGGGGAAGACAGAAAACTTGATGGATGTGCCCGCGACGCTAATTTGCGCTTCGAGATCAGGCTGTGTAGGTGTGTCTTTTGGAGTTGCGTAGTGTGACATGAAGGACAATGAGTCTAATGTATGTTGAAAAGTCACTGGGTTGCTTTAAAGGGACCTAGTCGAGACCTTTTCGAGCTACGGTTTGTTTTCGCCTCTCGGTAAATCTTGACGTGGAATGGGCACTATATTTCTGCATTTACTGCGAGCGAATGGGCAGAAACGCCTGGGAATTTGAGTGAGCCTAAATTCTAGAGGAAACTAAATCTTTAAACGTAATTAAAACTATGTAAAACAGCCGCTAGACCTCGTTGGGATACCCGAGAAATGGCCGCGTATGAATTTTGCACGAGTAGACCCCGGGCCCCCGGACAAATACACTTATCCCACCGGATATGGTGGAGCCGCGCCTTGAGAGGATTAGTGCCATTCAAATCCCAAAAATAAAAATTTCTTCTTACGAACGGATGTTGAAAAATAACTTCACCCACGTCTCGCCATCACAAAGTCCAGCCGTTATCACTTCTGGAAACGCTCGAAAATTCCTAGCTCTACTGAAATCTGAGACTTGTATCGTATAACTTAATGCGCGCTAACGAAATAAAACCAAAACGTTTAGTTTTATTAGTTTATTCGCATCAAAACTCCACGGATGGCCGTGCAGGTAGATAGGGGGAAAAGTGTGCCAGATAAATAGGAAGGTAGAAATTGGGGGATTCCAGATCAACAACTTTGAAACGTGTGGGGTAAAATGGTTGGAATGTCAACATGTTAAAGATGAGAGCTTAGAAAATGCTTGACTGGAACGGCGGCTGCTTTTTGACGACCCGGCCGCGCTGGACACCTGGAAAAGAGGTATTGTTTTCGAATTTGATTTGCTGATTTTAGGCACGGCACTACGACAAGAGGAGGTTGGGAAAGGCCCATTACCAAGTTTTAAAAGGCCGTCCGCGAGCCACCCGAACAGACCCTAATATGGCTTGGCACAGTTTTTTCGACCTGTTTGCGGCATCGGAAAGAGCATAGTCGAATTAGTAGAGCTGCATAGTTTTGAAAGTTTAAAAAGTTAATTTTTAGGGTTTAAATTGGAGTCAAAGTTGCCGACCCACAAAAATTATCTCGAAAGTTACCGAACTAAATTGGTCGAAAATTTGTCAAAATACCTAATTTGGGATGCTGATCATTTCTCTAATACATCCAAAAGCACGAAATTGAGCAGAACATGGTTAAATCGCGTACCCAAAACAGTTTTCAGGGTTTTGTATTTTACGGGTTCTTGGCGGTCCGTTGTAAACAGCCAAAGATGCGCAAAAAAATTCTACATCGAATGCGGTATTTTATACCGGCCGACAGAAACCCTACTCTTGCTATAGGCATATACTGCGCGCAACCAGTCAGCAGAATGGGTCAAAACCTCAAAAACCACAAATTTGGAACTCGAATATATCAAACCATATCTAGAGAACGAGCTGAATCCATTGCAAGAGAGCAAAAGAAGTTCGGCTTCTGAATATAGGCTGAGATCCGGGAGGGAATCGAACTCGGACCCTTCGCCTGGAAGCCCTCCCTGGGGCCGTGGTGGATTGCATGAGTGCTCGCCTACCAATCCAAGGGCCGCGCCAGTTCGATTCCAGCCCCCTTCAAAAGCAATATTTCTTTTTGCTCTTTCAATGGATCCAGCTCGTTCTCTAGATATGGTTTGATATATTCGATTTCCAAATTTGTCATTTTGAGGTTTTTGACCCATGGGGGGCTGTTTGCGCACAAGTCCTTTATACGCAAGTAGGGTTTCTGTCGGCCCGAAGTAAAATACCTCATTCGGACGTAGCACCTTTTCGCACTTTAAGGTATTTACAACGGACCGCCAACCTGCATAAATACAAAACCCTGAAAACTGTTTGGTAATGCTGCATTAACTCATGTTCCGGCTCAATTCCGTGCTTTTATGTATTAGAGAAATGATCAGCATCCCAAATAGGTATCGCACAAATTCTCGACCAATTTGGTTCAGTAACTTTCGAGATGACTTTTGGTCGCTGCTGTCAATTGACCCAATTAGAACCCTGTGGCCAATTTCAAACATAACTATGCAGCTCTACTATCTGATTGCGCCTTCCGATGCCGTCATAAATACAGCGTTTGAAAAATTGTGCCAAGCATTGTTCGGTCCTCTCGCAAAAGGCCTTTTAAGATGTTCTCAATATCCCATTTTTGGCATAAAAAGGAGCGGAAATGCAATATGTTTGACAAGGGACATGGCACAAACCGGCATCTGGTCTAGAAGGTTCCCCGGCTTCTGTAAGCACCTCGGCCTCCACGTCCGGCGAAGCCGATGCGGCCGCGATAGCCATAGCCGCCACGTCCGCCGCGCGGACCACCCATGCCGGCCGCCATATCGGCGGCCACGAAGCGCGTCTTGTCGATGCGGCGCCACACGTACTTCTTCATCTCGGCGTGCTTCTTCTCGGTCTCCTGAAAAAAAGTTACTACTAGTGGTTCTATAATAGCTCTGGAATCGCGGAATCCGAATTTTCCAATAGAAATTCCGTCCCTCGCCAATTTTTCTAACACAAATGGACGAAATGTTTCTAATTTCTAAACTGTTCCCAATAGTCCCAAAACTTTTACAAAAAGGTATTAAGAAACCGAAATATCGATTTCTGAAGACAGCATTTATTTTTGAGCGAAACTTCTACTTTAAACAATTTCTAAAACGGTTGTTTTGACTTCTAAAAAGATCAAAAAAAGCTTCCAAAAATAATGCTTACCTGTTTTTCGAAGGGTCCGGCCCATTGGTGTGACTTGGCCAAGTCCTGGCGGTACTTCATCAGGAACTTGCCGCCCAAATTCTCGCCGTCCCAGAAGATGGGCTTGTTGGCCTCCTCGCGGTTCTTGCGCCAGCCCGTGCCGAGTTGCTAAACGAAAAATCAACGGAATCTCAACAAATGCAACCTTGTCCTGGTCGGCCAGCGCGCGATGTAGGTGGTGCCGGTCTCGACGAGAAGGTTCTGGATGGGGCGCACTTGCTCGAGCTTCAGCCGCTGGCCCATCTCCCAGTAGGTGACTTTTTCCTGAAAAAGGAACATTTTCGCACAAAGCAGTATTATACGGAAAAAGCGCTTAATTTACTTACTGCTTTCCATTTCTCCTCGTTGAAGTTCTTGATGTTCTTCGCCACCTCCTCGGCGTCGATGCCAGTGCCGGCCGTTTGGATCTTGTGCATGGCGTCGGCGTCACCAAAGTGTTCGGCCATTTTGTACCTAAAATGTTGGGTTAACGGTCCATCAAAAACTTTTTTACCAATAGAAGCGCTCCACCGATTTGTGCTCCAGACCGTTGTCGTCCTTGATGGTGGCCTCGTACTTGGTGCCGAGCGGGTCGTGCTTGCCGCCGATCAGCAGGAACTCGTTGCGGCCCAGCTCGTCGTACTCTTTCTCCCAGATTTCGGGGTTCCTGAAAATAACAAAATGCGTTTCATTTATCAAAGCCACTACAATTTTGACTCGAAAACAAAAACTCACCGCTTCGATGACCTGGCCACCGATTTCGCTGATCGCCGTCTTCATCGCCTTCATTTTCTCTTTCATGCGAATGTTTTCCATCTAAAAATAAACTATTCTCTTGCGATCACGCTTTAAAAGATACCTTGAGCTTGCGAATGCCCTGCCTGAGCATCTCCTTCTCGGCATCCAGCTCAAAGACCCGGTTCTTGAGCATCATATGTTCTTCTTGCATCCTGTGCACGATGTCGCGCAGCTCGCCCAGGTTTGCCATTTTCGAATTGTTTGCCGCTTGCTTAGATGTGTACCGTTTTGGCCTATTACCTGAAAAGTGAAGGGTGTAATACGAGAATTCCGCGTAGACAAATCCAAAAGTGAAGAAGAGAAAGAAATGATGATCCTGCTTGCCAGAAAAGCTGCGCGCGCGTAATAATAATACGAAATGAAGTCAAGGACAAGTTCTTTTTGGAGCTTCTTATCTTATCGCAAGCCGAAAAGACGAGTCTACGATTCGAACGGCGGGCGTTCTTCATATTTGAACTGCACGCACCAAAGTTTGCGCGCCTTCTCGTGATCAATTTTCTGCCGTACAGACCAGCGAGCTATTTTCTATCTTCCTCTCTGCAACACACCATTATATTATGTTTTTTTCTGTTTTTCAACCTCACGACGAAATTGTCGAAGTTTCTAGGGTTTAAAAAGAGCGGGAAAAGACTGACGAAGCCGCACGAAAAAGTCTCCGAAAAGTTCGTACACGGGGTTTTTTTCCGCGCACGGGGGTGCGGGGGGCCTGGCCAAGGAGGCGTCAGGCGGAGGGTCAGGGTTCGATTCCTCTCCTCGCGTAAAATCATCACATGGTTTTGCTTTTTTTTGCAAAATACTCAGAAAAGCTCCGACAACAAATCTGTGGCGAATGTCAGGCAGAAAATTAGGAAAATGAGGCCCTAACGAGAACATCGTCTTGATAATCGCTTCAAAGCGTTTCAAATCCTTGTTTTTCCTCGCGATCGCTGAGATTCTTTTACCAACATATTCCCGAGGGTCTTCTCTACAAATTACCAGGCGGAGAATTTGTCATTTTTTCTAGAAAAAAAGTTATAGCCATTAGAAGGGATTTTCTAATACATTTTGGGGGCGAAAAGGTGGCGTGGCCTCGCCCATTCCCTGTCTCCCTCTCGTGCGCGCCCCAAGTAAGGTTAAAAACCCCGTGCGTAGCAAAGTTTACCAAATTTTTCAAAAGCAAGTTTTAGACATTTTTTGCAAAGAAGTCAATAAAACGAGTTTAATTCCCCCATCGAATAACCAAGTTCATAAGCTGCCGCCAACCGTTTCGCGTCCGCTGCGCCATCGCCCCCTCTCCGGGTCCAGCCTTTAGGGCCCCGATCCACGGTTTAGCCGCCGTTTTGGCGCCATCCCCCCCTCGCCGGTGATAAAACGGAAATTTCCGGAACCGCTGCAATTAGCGGTGGGGGATGGTTGTCCGTTGTTTGTACCCATTCGCCCGGCTCGTGCCCCACCTCAAAGTTATTGATATCGATTTGCTGGCAGGCCTGGGTCAAAACAAGTCGCCGATTTCGAAATGCGGTCCGTCGAATTGCTTATGCAAGCTAATACCTGGGGGGTTTTGTTCAAGGATTCTTTTCGAAATTGTTTGCCTTTTATGAAGCTCTTGTTTGTTGGATCTGTCGCATAATGCTGTTAACTCAATGATGAGCGGATCTTCGCAGATCCGAGCTTTAGAAACCCCCATTTTAAAATTTTTTTTCAAAGCAGCGCTCTAACGAAACTCCAAAATGATCAATCCAAATTGTCTGCTTTTTATAAAGCTAATATTTTATTTACTGGGTTTGTCAGTATCTAACCCTAGTCATGATTGCATTTTCGAAAATTCGAACTCCAGCTGGTAAACAACATTTTTCGAAAACATCCTGAAACCTCATTTGTAATCTGTTCCCCCTCATCTCTCTAATCTACAAACTTCAAACTATAAAATCACCTACGCTTTCAGATACACGGGTATAACCAGACAGGATGCCGGAAGCCCAACCTACTTCCGTCTTCTCCGAGGAGGTCGTGGTCAAGATCATCAGCGACGTCTTCGACCGCAACGTCGGCTTCAGCACGTACAACTTCCAGGAGTCGATCAGCTGGAACCAGAAATGCGTTGAAGGTAGGTGCACCCGAACGCAGCGGGATTCTCGCCGCATTTTTTTGAATATTTTAAAAATGGGCTCCGAACCAACCCCCTTTCCAGAGATCGTCTCCGAGCTGATCAAGCTCGACCGCCCGTACAAGTTCACCGTGTCGGCCTCGCTGTTCCAAATCGGCAACGGCAGCGGACTGAACGTGTCCACCGTGTCGTACTGGAACAAGGAGACCGATGTGATGTATACGCACCGCTGGGAGGGTCGCCACATGTCTGCCATCGTCAACGTGTTCGCCGTCGCTTACTAAGGTTTGTTATACATTGGCGTAAGCAGAAATTTGCTAGGTACCAAGTACCACATTGTCCGAAAATTTGAGCTTTTTTTTGGTCATTTTCATGCATTTTGACCAAAGGTCAAAATTTGAATTTTTGATAGTTATTTATGAGCATTTTGTCTCTAAAAACTGTGAGCTAAACCACACTTTGGAAAATACGACTTTTCAGGTACCCCCTGGTCCACGCAAGCCGACATCCCCGACCACTTTGACAAAACAAAAGAAATCTCGTGTTTTTGACATCACCTCTCCGAGCTGCGAGCGAGGCGGTACCCACCCGACTCATCCAGTGTATAATTTTCCTGGGTATCTCCAAACTTTCTTTTTTGACTTCCCCCCATCGCCAGGCTCTGGTTTCGTGTCTTCGTTGTTGCTCCTTTCCGTTCGATCCTTCTGTTTTCTGCCGGTTGCCACTGTTGTTCAATGTGATCTAGACGATTTCCCACCCCTACGATTTGCTCCTCCTCCCGATTCATGCGGCCAATTTATTTAACTGTAGCTGGGCTTTGGCTTTTGCGAAGTAAAAACTGTATCGGAATTTCCTTGACATTTCTGGATTCGAAGAAGCCCAACCCCACCGCTATTTTTCCCATGGTTTAACAGGTACTGAACTGTTAGCGGGGGGGGGACGAATTTTTCTAAGTAATATAACAAGTACGGCTCTATAACAAATATCGATCATTTATATAACATTTTGCACATTTTTAGACATAAAAAGCCTCATAAAAACTGATCAAAATGTATAAAATGACCCAAAAAAGTAAAATTTTCGAATTTTCAAGTATTTAAAATATTTTTGGAACTTTCTAGCAACACAAAAAACTGCAATAAAAACATTGTAAAAATACCATATTTATTATTGATAGGTAGGTATAGACGGAAAACTAAAATTACCCCCCCGCTAACAGACCAGTACCGTTTTACATCTCCCATGTCCAAGTCATAATTTCCCACGTTGTCAAAAGAGATGTCGCTTGGAACGAGATAAAATGTTGCCTTTTATGTGCCAAAAACAGAGCAGTATTTATTGAAGCTTAACTTTTTCTTTGTAAGCCATCTCACAGCACGACCAGTAATACCAAGACCCGATTGCTCGGAGGAAGAGGAAAAAGGCGATGATCAGGGCTACAAAGAACAGCAAAACGTCCAGAGAATAGAATTCAAAAGACGACAGATTCGGGAGGTTGAGGTCCATTTCGGTGTTGAGCACGACCTCGACCCAATAGTTCAGCTCTTGCTCAGCTGTCGATGGGCGCTTCTTGATTATGCGCTTCAGTTCTTCGGCCCGCTTGTGGAAACTAAAGATATGACTTGGTTTTTGGTTCTTTTGCTCTATCGGGGGGGGGGGCACTTTTTCTAAGCGTCTTTTTTCTAATATAAATATAGGCCGCGTCTTAAGATGTTTTATACTATTCCTAGACGCAAAAACTTTAGAAATGTTGTTCAAAAAAGAAAATTAGCAATTTTTCGACCAAGAATGGCCGATTTTCGACAAAATTTCAACTAAAACGAAATTTGTTTCTGGTTCTTTTCTGATTGTTTTACCACTTAAATATAGTTAGATTTTACTAAGAACAAAATTAAACCATTTACTGTTTCATTCCACTAAAGAAACATTTTTTCCGTCTCGTGACTCACCTAGGATTCTGTAAAATCTCGTTGAAAGCTCCCTGAAGCTTTTCCGTAGTGAATTCGCGTTTTTCGATCCGAATCGAAACACCGTGTTGCTCAAAAAGATGTGAATTTCTGAAAACTTATGTCATGTATTTGCAATCGACGTCGAGGTGTTTTTTAGATCATTTGCGTCGCTCCTTACCTCACTTGATCCCCAAAACTGAAGAGTGGTACTGAAATTGTTGGTACTCCATACTGAGCCGCTTCCATTAGACTGTTATAGCCAGCCTGTGTTATGAACAATTTGGTTTTCGGATTGGCCAATAGTGCTGCTTGCGGGATCCACTTGGCGCGCAGGACATTTTCAGGGACCTCAATTTCCTCGTCACAGCTCCAGATAAAGTGCGTCTCTGGATCGGCTCTAAAAAATTTCATTACTTCGTGATATCCGCTAGACTGTAGCTTGTAAAAGCTACCTGAACAAATTCAAAAGCGCCTCCTTCCAATCTGGCGGCATTCTTTCTGTAACGGGCCATGAGCCAAACGAAACGACAACGAGTTTTGAGGCTCTCGTGACGAAGGTGGAGAAATTCTAGAGTCAACCAGGTTTCTTACATTTTTTGGCTGCTGTACCTCGTCTAGCGCATCTACAGAATTCTCAGCCCCGAATCCGCCAAGATAAACGACTTTTTGAGTCGTGGGAATTGGGAATTCGAGAACAGCATCAGCGCTGATCATCATCAGATTGGCCTAAAAACTTGCGTCATGAAAAATTCGATCAAAAAATCAGGTCCGCGAAACCGGCTAACGCAAAAACCGAGTTGGTACCAGTAATTTCCTTTTGTTTTTTGGTTCCTCCAAAAAACGCTTACACTCTTCGGAAAATACTCCAAATCGGGCACATCACGGCCTAGATTGCGCCTGGCCAGCTCGGTTTGGGCTCTCGCCTGCTTGGCCAATCGAAAATAGGCGTTCAGCATCTCGTATATGAAATTCTGGGCCCGCTTCAGGAACGACATTTTGTTGCCTTGTTGCAAAGCGTAGGCTGGAATGAAGAAGATTAGTTTTTAGATTTTTCAGGCAAAAAATCTAGCTTACACGGCAAAACACTTGTCGGCACGAATTCCCCCACCGAGTTGAGCAACGAGGGATAGGGCGGCAGGCTGGAGAAGTAGATCCATTTTTCTAAAGTTTTCATTCTCTTATTCGTTTGAAGTTCTTCTTACTAATCCCAAGATGGTGTATTAGCGACATTTGACAAAAATCCATATGGTGGTGGAAGGCGAGATCAATTTTAGCAGCTTGCAGGTTTGCTATTAGTTGCTTGTCGGCAAGTGTATCTAAAGATTTTTTGCTCTTATTATGTCATTACTTCCTTGATACTGGCTTTCACAAAGACTTACTATTACAAACATGCATCGTGAGCTCAAAAAACGCCGACGACAGCTCGAGAGAATCAAAAATCGACGGATCGGGATCAAACATCTTCCTAAAAACATTTCCATAACTCAAACCAAGCCCTTACTTCACTTTAGCATCTTCGAATTGGTTGTAGACTGCCGCGTCATAGCCGGATTTTGCGTGAAGCATTTGTATTTTTGCGTTTTTGGGCGACGTTATTGTCATTTCCGTGTTTACGAGCGGTCGAACGAGCACGACCTCATGACCGCCATCAGCCAATGCTAACGCTAGTTTATTGTTGTAAATCGCCTTAAATTACAGTCTAAAAACTCTGGGAGATCACCTGGCTATTCGAATGCTCAAAGGTAAATATGGCTATTTTAGCGGCGAATAAACCATATAATAGACAACAGAAAACTAGCAGCCGCATAGTTAACAGGGTCCCCGACGAAGCAAAGGGCGATCCTTATCTCCAGTTTCTTGTCAGTGTGCATCTAGTTGCAGCCATCGCGTTGTCAGACGCCGAAGCTGAGTTGTTCTGATTGAATCTCTAAAATACGGCAGGCTACGTTTTTTAGTGCACAACGCCCGAAAAGCCAATTGCGTTTATTCAGGAGACAAAAGAAAAAAAGTGAAAACCAGGGAATAGATGGAAACAACGTGATTAAATAAGAAAAAAACGATCGAAGGATTAGGATTTGCCGAGTTGCGCGTAGTCGACGCCCATCTCCTTCGCCTTCTTTTTCAGCTCAGCCTCCAGCTGCTGGTTGGTCATCTCCATTCTGAATTCCTTATATTATTGTCGCAAGGAAAAGCCAACCTGTAGTTCTTGGTGACCATCTGTACCCAGGCGTTCTCCAGCTCCTTTAGCGTTTTGCCGGCACTCATTTGTGCGTGTTTGCGGCTGGCGTGAACTTCCATAACCTGAAAAGAGTCAATCAGGATGAATTTCCAAAGGAAAAAAGATAGATACAGAAAACTTACCGATTCTTGTGTTTGACGCAGGTCGTTCTCCAATTCACGAAGATATGCTTGAAGCTCCTAAAATAATGATAAGAAGCAATTAAATCAAAGCAACCTCGCTCCATCTTCTCGATGCCTCCGGCCCGTACTCCTCCATCAGCTCGAGGTTGATCTGACGCAGGCGCAGATGCTCGTTTTGCGTAAAGGCGTTGCGGAATAGCCTAAAAACGTGGGTAAATAAAAGGTTGATTGAATAAAGCATATCTAGTACTACAGGACTACCAAAAAGTACCTTTCGCCAAGAATACTTATCGTTGGAACGAGACGTGCCGGCCGGGCAAGGCAAATCACAACGGGTAAGGTCGATTGGCTTCGGGATTTCCTAAAAACAACGAATAGCCAAATCCTAAAGATCGCAAAACCGAAAAAGACTATTACAACCCAAAAAGAAAAATACTCACAACTTTTTGTGTCCTTAGCTTTCGGTCTTCAAGCAGCGCCGGCGTCAAGTAGGCATCGTAATCGGGGATCGGGAGATGCTTCAGATAGTTTTTCGTGGCCGGGAACGACTGAAAGAATGGGTTGCAACGAAAATGCCAAAACCACAGGTCAAGGCTTCGCGATTCTAGAAATCAAACGACACCTTGCACTCCTGCTCGATCAAACCGAGCGCAAACTGGCGATCGGTTTCCGAATAGTTGACGTCGAGGTAAGGCAGCGCGTCAACGAGCACCTAAAAAGAAAATAAAAGAGTAAAAAATCAAACAAACATCACGGTCGTCGTCGCGCCCCCGAGTCGGAGCTCCTAGTGCCAACGGCTGCGCGGACATTGTTCCTGAAATTGCAAACATTGTCTTAGGATGCCACATATACAACAACGATTTTTAAGAAAAAATGAAAGGATTTTTATAGAGCAGAAACAAAGTTTTTTGAAGGTCTTTCCGAAAATTCAATTGGCTCGATTGATGCAGAGGATGCTTAGGAAGTGAGTGTCGTGAGGAGCCAAGCGTAGCCATTGCAAGGGTGCTCTTTGGCACGGGATCGTACTTTTTTCTGCATAAAAGGCTTTTCATTTTCAAATAACTAAAAATCGTAAAGTGAAATTGCTTTATTCAATAACCAAGTCCATCCATCAAAGCTATTAACGTACTTTCCAGTGAACGATTAAAAACACACGACAAATGTGAAGGCAAACAAAAAATAAATCGGATCCTTGTAATGTCGAGCCAGCAAGAGATGCGGGTGAAGAAGCCGATCTTCTGCTACTCCTCGTCGCCGCTGCTATGTGCCGCCAAGTCCTGCCACGGGTCCCCGGAGCGCCACTTCACCGGGAAGCCGTCTACCTCTTCGACCTCAACGAGAAAATTTGACTTTAGGTATTTAAAATTTGGGTTTTACTTGAGGAAGAGTGGCGTTGATCCGGTTGCGGTACTCCTGGCTGTTGGAGTAGACGCGCGGGTTCATCTCGAATGCCACTTTTCGGAGAGATGGCACCAGCTTGAGCGGCTCCAGCTGCTCCCAGCCGGTCAGCTCAAACCAGGAACTTTCGGTTCCTCGAGGCGCTCGCCTACCTGATTATTCCGGATACAGAAGGTGCTCAGCTTGGGGAGGCGGTGCAGGTTTTCAATGTTCTTGATTTTGTTGTCGTTGACGTCGAGGTATTCGAGGTTGGCGAGCTGGTCGAGGCTGAATAAGATATAACCGTTTTTCCAAGAGGTTTTTTCCCTACCCTCGATGCGTTTCAGGCCGTTCTGGGCGATGAAGAGCTGCTCGAGGCCGGTGATCTGCTCCAGGTTTTCGATCTTGGTTAACACGTTGCCGGGCATCGCCAGCGAGCGCAATGTCGATGCAACCGGTTCCAGATCTGAACAGCTTAGTTGAAGACTAACCAGGGTTGAAAAACCGCTTCGCGGCTTTTCAACCCTGGCCCCCGTCTAGGATCGATGAAGTTAAAGACTTAGCATAATTCTTGCTAAAAACCGCTCACCAAAAAATGAAAAGCGCGCCCTCTCTTCCTTTTTACAAACCATTTCCACTTCCGCCGTATGCTAATCGCTTCCTAACAAAGAGGTTGGCCGAAAACTTTACAAAAACCTAATCAACTATAATAAAAAAGTAGTGGTGTCTGTCTGTCTGTCTGTCTGTCTGTCCGTCATGTCCCGAATTCAACTCGAAGGGGAAAGGAGCTAGAGCTTAGCTCTCTTCGGATTCGGATAGAGCGTGGTCAGAAACCCCAAACTGATAAAAAATTACGAAAAGTTTTGTTTAAATTATTAAAATTAACTTTGAAAGTGGCGCCTTAATAAAACAGTGGGGCCCCTCTCCCCGGGGAGGCCACGCCCCTTTCTCTTTGCCCTCTTCCCCAGGCCCCTTCGTGCGCCCAGATGCCTTTTAAGTTACTTTAATACTTTTTAATATACTTTTAATACTTTTTAATTATGTTAAGTAATTATTTAAATTATTGAAAGTATCTAGGAAGGTATTTAGGTAGTTTTTGAAGGGGATTTCAGCCATGGGGGGTATCTGAAGCCATCAGGAAGGTATTTAGGTAGTTTTTGAAGGGGATTTCAGCCATGGAGAGTGTCTGAAGCCGCCAGGAAGGTATTTAGGCAGTTTTTGAAGGGGATTTCAGCCATGGGGGGTATCTGAAGCCATCAGGAAGGTATTTAGGTAGTTTTTGAAGGGGATTTCAGCCATGGAGAGTGTCTGAAGCCGCCAGGAAGGTATTTAGGCAGTTTTTGAAGGGGATTTCAGCCATGGGGGGTAGCTGGAGCCATCAGGAAGGTATTTAGGTAGTATTTGAAGGGGATTTCAGCCATGGGGGGTAGCTGGAGCCATCAGGAAGGTATTTAGGTAGTTTTTGAAGGGGATTTCAGCCATGGGGGGTAGCTGGAGCCATCAGGAAGGTATTTAGGTAGTTTTTGAAGGGGATTTCGGCTAGGGGAGGTAACTGGAGCCATCAGGAAGGTATTGAGGTAGTTTTTGAAGGGGATTTCAGCCATGGGGGGTATCTGAAGCCATCAGGAAGGTATTTAGGTAGTTTTTGAAGGGGATTTCAGCCATGGGGGGTATCTGAAGCCATCAGGAAGGTATTTAGGTAGTATTTGAAGGGGATTTCAGCCATGGGGGGTAGCTGGAGCCATCAGGAAGGTATTTAGGTAGTTTTTGAAGGGGATTTCAGCCATGGGGGGTAGCTGGAGCCATCAGGAAGGTATTTAGGTAGTTTTTGAAGGGGATTTCGGCTAGGGGAGGTAACTGGAGCCATCAGGAAGGTATTGAGGTAGTTTTTAAGGGATTTCAGCCATGGGGGTATCTGAAGCCATCAGGAAGGTATTTAGGTAGTTTTTGAAGGGATTTCAGCTATGGGGGTATCTGAAGCCATCAGGAAGGTATTTAGGTAGTTTTTGAAGGGGATTTCAGCCATGGGGGGTATCTGAAGCCATCAGGGAGGTATTTAGGTAGTTTTTGAAGGGGATTTCAGCCATCGGGGATATCCAAAGCCATCAGGAAGGTATTTAGGTAGTTTTTGAAGGGGATTTCAGCCATGGGGGTATCTGAGCCATCGGGAAGGATTTAGGTAGTTTTTGAAGGGATTTCAGCCATGGGGGGTATCTGAAGCCATCAGGGAGGTATCTAAGTAGTTTTTGAAGGGGATTTCAGCCATGGGGGGTATCTGAAGCCATCAGGGAGGTATTTAGGTAGTTTTTGAAGGGGATTTCAGCCATGGGGGTATCTGAAGCCATCGGGAAGGGATTTAGGTAGTTTTGAAGGGATTTCAGCCATGGGGGTATCTGAAGCCATCAGGAAGGTATTTAGGTAGTTTTTGAAGGGATTTCAGCCATGGGGGGTATCTGAAGCCATCGGGAAGGGATTTAGGTAGTTTTTGAAGGGGATTTCAGCCATGGGGGGTATCTGAACCATCAGGGAGGTATCTAAGTAGTTTTTGAAGGGGATTTCAGCCATGGGGGGTATCTGAAGCCATCAGGGAAGGTATTTAGGTAGTTTTTGAAGGGGATTTCAGCCATGGGGGGTATCTGAAGCCATCAGGAAGGTATTTAGGTAATTTTTGAAGGGATTTCAGCCATGGGGGTATCTGAAGCCATCAGGAAGGTATTTAGGTAGTTTTTGAAGGGGATTTCAGCCATGGGGGGTATCTGAAGCCATCGGGAAGGGATTTAGGTAGTTTTTGAAGGGATTTCAGCCATGGGGGGTATCTGAAGCCATCAGGGAGGTATCTAAGTAGTTTTTGAAGGGGATTTCAGCCATGGGGGGTATCTGAAGCCATCAGGAGGGTATTTAGGTAGTTTTTGAAGGGGATTTCAGCCATGGGGGTATCTGAAGCCATCAGGAAGGTATTTAGGTAGTTTTTGAAGGGGATTTCAGCCATGGGGGTATCTGAAGCCATCAGGAAGGTATTTAGGTAGTTTTTGAAGGGGATTTCAGCCATGGGGGTATCTGAAGCCATCAGGAAGGTATTTAGGTAGTTTTTGAAGGGATTTCCAGCCATGGGGGTATCTGAAGCCATCGGGAAGGGATTTAGGTAGTTTTGAAGGGGATTTCAGCCATGGGGGGTATCTGAAGCCATCGGGAAGGGATTTAGGTAGTTTTTGAAGGGATTTCAGCCATGGGGGGTATCTGAAGCCATCAGGAAGGTATTTAGGTAGTTTTTGAAGGGGATTTCAGCCATGGGGGATATCTGAAGCCATCAGGGAGGTATTTTGGTAGATTTTTAACGGAATTTCGACCCGGAGGGGTATCTGAAGCCATCGGGAAGGTAGCTATGTTTTTGTGGGGGGTGGGTTGGCTAGAGGAGGTATCTGAAGCCATCAGTGTAGTTATTGCCATGAAGGCATCAGCGTAAGGTAGGGATTAAATGTGGTGGTGTAGAATATGGAGGGTGGCCCGAAGTCCAGCCGATTGCAGTCGCGAAGCGGCTGTAATCGGCTGGTTTTAATATAGAAAATAACAATTTTTCAAAACTTTTATGTGTGTGCAGTCGATTCCGGCCCCTTCTTTACCCTATGACGTTTCTTCCCTACCGAAAAAATGCTTCCCTAAGGCTGTAGGTGCGGAACATCCAAACGGAAGTGCATGCAAATATACACACACACACACACACACACACACACACACACACACACACACACACAGACACCATTTTTTTATATATAGTAGGATATATCGCCTCTTCTTTACGCTACTGGGAAAGTATACAAAAATTTAGCCCTCGATCGGGAGAACAAGAAAAGGAAAAAAAGACCGAGACGTACACCTTGTACCCACTTTCAATCTTCTTGATCTGATTCGACCCCAGGCAGAGGGTGTGCAGCTTTTCGAGGCGCTCCAGCCCGCGGATGCCCTGGATTCGGTTGTCGCCTAGCTCGAGCAGCTCCAGGTTGACGAGCTGAATTCGGAAGGAGACCTCCCGTTTTATCCCATCAAAGTACCGTCTCAAGGCCCTCTATTTTGCGCAGCTTGTTGTGGACGAGGTAGAGCTTCTTCAGCCGGGTTAGCGTCTCGAGGCCTAAAAACTATTTCCCTCAAACATCCTTGTCAAAAGTTTCAACCTTCAATTTTCTCGATGCGATTGAACGACAGGTCGAGCTCCTCCAAATTCGTCAGCGTCTCGAGATTTTCGATTTTTGTGATCTAAAAACGAACTTTAGGTTGAGCCTAAAAAAAGGTTAACCTGATTATCGTACAAGTTGAGCATCGTCAACGAGCGCAGCGCGCCGAGACCCTCGATGCGTTGGATCAAATTCCATCTAAAAACCGGCTGGAATTACTATAATCTAATTGGATGCCTCAAAACTAGCTGGTCGAGCTTCGGAAGCGGCAGCCACGGGATGCGCGAGATCCGGCAGCGCGTCAGGTTGAGCGTCGGCTCATCCGGCTCGTGCTTGTATTCTGAAATGCTGACTCGGAAAGCGAAAAGACAAATTGAAGCCAAGCCTATTTAAGGCTGAGCTTATAAGCGAACCAAGGATTTCCTTGACGACCGTCGTCCCGTCGTTTGAGCGCACCCATTCAAATTCGATGATCTGGAGGAAACGATAAAGGATAATGAGCGAAAACTACCATTTGAAGGGGCTAGGCAGAGTGACACTAACTTTTTTCTGAAGTCCCTGCGTACTCATTGGAATTTCGTTCAGGCTAATGAGACATTTCAGAAATGGAATCGAGAAAAATGCAAATTAGCTTGAAGTCCATGTCTCTCTCTCTCTCTCTCTCTCTCTCTCTCTCTCTGCTCTCTCTCGCTCTCTCTATGGTTCTCTGGTCCTCTCACGCTCTCTCTCTCTCTCTCTCTCTCACGCTCTCTCTCTCTCTCTCACGCTCTCTCTCTCTGGCTCGCTCTTTGGCTCACTCTCGCTCTCATCCTCTCTCTCTCGCTCACTCACTCTCTCTCTCTCTCTCTCTCTCTCTCTCTGATGTTTTAAGTAATGTTGTCAACGTTTGCAATATTCGCCCGCTCGTAAAGCTCAATATTTATTTGCCAATACAATACAGAAAAGCCAAAAATACGCTTCACACTTGGAAACCGGAATTTTTCGGGGTTTGAAATACAGTGGTTGGACACGAATCCTGAAAACGGGCCGAGGAGAGGGTACGGTAATCAAGGTAGGAATAACTTAGCGAGATTCTCCAGATAATTGGAGCTTAAAAAATCGGCTAGCTCATATTTATGCGTGGTTTTTGAGGGGGGATCACAGCGAAATGGGACAAGAATTATAGGTGGTTGATGACTTTGAGAAGGGTTCAAAATTGAGAAGAAAATTTGTCAGGTATGAGCACCGTTTCGGCGGCGTAGAGGACAGTGGTGGCAATGGGAAATACAAATACAGCAATTTTTAGGCCCGCAAAGCTTTGGAAAAGCTAGCCACGCTGCAGGCAACCGCCTTGTTTTCGCGTAGAGACGCGAAAATCTCGGCCGGACACGCTTCAAACGGGCCGGCAAATCAAAAGCCTTGAAAACCGAAAAATTCATAGTATGGCAAAGAAGAAAAAAAATACAAGAGTAGATCTACAATCTGAGCTCGAATCTGGGGTTCTGCCATCGGGGCGGGCGGCACCATGTGTCCCCGGATGGTTGCTCATTTCTGGCGCGCCGGCCGCGGGCTTCTTCAACGAGGTTCCGCACGGCTTCTGATTTCATCTGACAAATAGGAATTTTTTCTATTCTATCAATTCCATTATTTTTTGTATTCCTTGAATTGCATTAATTTTTGAACTTGTATTTTTTGTTTTATGTAGCCTTTGTTTCAAATTGCCTTGCGATTTTTATACCTGCAGCTCGGCAATCTGAGCGTCAAGTTCGGCAAGGAAGTCCATCTCGGCCCTCTCCAGCTCGTCGTCTAGGTTCAGGGGCGGAGGTGGCGGGGCGCAGAAGGTGGGCGCTGGCCGCGTCGCGCGGATTGGTTCGGGACGGAGAAGCGGGGGCAGTGGCCGCGGCATGATGCCCATGGAATAGGTCTAAATCGATCGTTATTTCTCTTTCTCTCTCTCTCTCGCTCTCTCGCTCTCTCTCTGTCTCTCGCTCACCTGTGGGATCACCGGCAGCATCCTGGGTCTCACTGGCTTCACCGAGGCGTAGATAGGTTCCGGCTGGTGGCGAATTTCAGCGGCACGTGACGAGCTTTTTGAGCGGTAACTGAACAAATATTTCTATAGGGGTTTTAGAGGCTGGTTTACCTGTTGTCATACATCTCCTCGACGTACGGCCGGGCCATCGGGCCCTCGTACGGCTTGGCGTAGATAGGGGAGTTGCGGCGGGAGAATGAGGTGGGCGAGGAGCAAGAGGGGCATTCGGAATCCGAAGCGTACGCACGGTCACGGTCATCGAGGACTCGAGAGATACGGGTTAGCGACTGAAATGGGGGTGTTTTAAAAGTATAGATCGTGTTTTGAAGGCATCGGGAGGCTATAGCGAACCTTGACCCCCCGCTAACAGCGTAGCACCGTAAAATCCATAAAATGACTTGAAAATCTCTTTAAGAAGATTCTGAAGCCGTTAAGACGTCAAACAGATTTTTGAATATTTTCTGAGTTCCGCCAGAGGTTGCTGCTCACCTCCAGCTCGTGGTAGATGTGCTCCGTCGAGTCATTGAAGCGCAGGTTGTCGTAGGGGGAGAATGACGATGATTCCTCCACGAACCCCAGCGCTTCATCCACGTCAATTGAGCGGCACTCGATGGCCTTGTCCGCTCTGGCGGTTTGCCAATTTGGCGAGTGGACCGAGGATTCGGGGCTGAAAAAAAGACGAAATTTACAGAAAATGATACGAGAGAAATCTTAAAGAAGAATACACTGAAATGTGGCTCTCGATCTGGAAAAGAAGAAGAGGATGGTTTTGAGCTGGAAAACGGGGCAATCTGGTTTTTAAAGTAGAAAATTGAAAATTCTCCTTTCCAAAAAGTTAAAAACGAAACTAGCATTTGTGAATGTTTTTTTCGAAAAGTGTATTATTTAGCATCTTGAATCCGGTTTTATAAGTCAATATTTTCAAAACCAAATACTCTAAATTTTAATCCTGAATTTTCCTGCCCTCTCCCGGGAGTGTATCGGAATTTCTCCCCCCCCCCGGCACCAGCAAACTCAAATTACAATCAAGACGACGAATTTGAAGCCCGGGGTCCAAGACGAAGTAGCCAGTGGTCGGGGCCCCGTAATTTGGTTGTCAACGGAATCCAACGGAATCCTCCTGCCAGGGCGCCCAATCACTTGGGCCCCTTGCGCAACTCTATGGGACTGGCCCTGGGCCCCCACCGTCCACCTGATCAAATTATTTCGAGGCCCACACACACGCTTGGAGGCCAAATTCCCGGAGTGCAATCCATTTTGGGGGTGGGGTGGGGTCGAAATTTGGCCGTGCATGGGGGGTTACGGTAGTCGGGTCGATATTTATCAGGTTTTAGAAGGGGAAATTTCGCTATAGGAATCGTATAAAAGTATATATGGGAAGTGTACAAAATGTAAAAGTTGTGCCTCTACCGCTATCATTCGCGCTCTTGCTCGTACTCGCTCTCTCTCACCCTCTTGCTCTACCTCTCTCGCTCTCCCTCTCTCTCTGACTCATTCTCTCTCTCTGACTCAATCTCTCTCTCTCTCTCTCTCTCTCTCTCCCTCTCTCTATCTCTCCTCTCTCCTCTCTCTCTTTCGGGCACCTTCACGTCGTTCATAAGCCTCAGAATCGACCCCTCCTGCTACTAGGTCTCGACAGCTATGGCTTTTAAAGGAATTAGCAAGCCAAAATCATTTGCTATTTTACAGGTTTTTATGATCTTCCTTTCTTGCCCCTTGTTTAGGCTACCCGAAGTGGACGTCGGCTTCTAGTCGCCCCCAAAAGCTGACCGCGACCCGAAAATGAAAAATGCGCGAGGCGGCCCCAGGGCCCCGTTCAATTTATTTCGTGCTGAACCCCTGGGGGGTGCCCCCACTTGGCTTCCCTCGAATAGCCGCCGGGCCCCCATAAAATTTGCGGCTATATGATGACGTTATAGGTCCAGAGTTTGCAGCGAAAATAGTACAAAAAAGTACACGAATTCGGAGTGATATTGCATTATGAAAAATCCCGATGTTAGAAGGTAAAAGAATAAAAATGACGACACTCAAAATGCCCAGCTTAAAAATCCCGACACGAGAAATGCCGAAATTTAGGTATATCGTGTTAAGAAGAGACTTAAGGTTAAAATTTCGTTGAGACTATCAATTAGCTTATTAAAGTCCAGTTCTAACATTAAGCCCTACCTGCTGTCCTGACTGCCGTAGCCGGAGGAGCACACCGACTCCTCGAAGCTTTTCACTCGCAGATGCGAGCGGTCCATCGACGAGAAGCTGTGGTCACGGTTGATCTTAAAAAAACTACAAAACCACATATTTCGGGATTACGGTATGGTCAGGTTTCCGCATGACACGCATCGACGCGCGGTCCTTATCACGCTGGATCCAGGGGTTTGTGCGTATGTTGGAGGATCTGGAATTATGGAAACTTAACAAGATTTGAAAAGCCGTATCTTAATGGTATGGAATATTTGCAGTAATGTCGTCGTTTAAAAAATCTTGAAATTCAGCGTCAAAAAATTGAAATGTTTGCGATACTCCGCAAAAACCTACTGTACCGCCTTTTCTAGGTGTCTAAAATTTACCCAGCTTTACCGATTAGATAAGCTTTAATTAGGTTTGCTTACCTAGACGACGAAAATGACTGGCTGAGCGAGCCGCCCATCGGTAAATCCCTTGGCGGCAGCTTGTCCCACGGGTCTGCGTAGATGGCCGGCACTTGGGGTACTGTAAAAAGGTCAGATTTTAGAAGCAGCATCTACAAGACTTACATTCCACCGGTTCCAGGTACTTTCTCGGCTTTTTGGGCTCGAGGAAGGAGCGCTGACGGCGAGGTTGTGAATTTGGGTCCGGGGCACGGCAGGTCGGGGCGGCGGAATGTGAGGCCTAAAATCGCGTGTACCGTCTAATTTTTGCCATTTTTAGATAAAAAAGCATACCTTAAAGCTGTAAGAATATTCTAGATCCAATTTTAAGCTATAATTTATCCAAAAAACCCACTTTTCTTGAGCGCCGCTCGCGACCGCCTCGACCGAGCGGGAAACCCTCGAGCCACGACTGCAGCCGCTGCATCAGTGACTCTGCAAATAAGGAGGAATTAACGGGTTTTAGGGTATCATAAAGATATTAAAAATATGATAATATGTTTGAAAATATTTTTTAACGTGATTTGATAACATAGAAATTTTCTACAAATTTTAATAGCTTTAGAACGGGCGTTGGGTCATTCAAGGGATGTTTCCGGGTTTCGGGGCCCTTAAAATATTTACAAATCCGTCATGAGCACACAAACGTACAAAATAGTTGCCACAAATTCGAATATGGTATATTATCAAATTACAAAGAAGATAGGATTATGCTTACGGGCTTAAAGTACGTATCCCTCTACCTTAAAAACTGTGCGTAAAGACGCGGAAAGAAACGGAACTTGCCGTGCGCGCGGCTAAAGTAAGAAAGGGTACAAGGGTGGGTGAAGAAATGTGAAGATCCCCCTCGTCCTCTTGCTCCCTGGTTCCTCCTTGCAAGTGGCCGTGTGGAGGTGCAAATTGTATTGGCTGTGCCCACCAAGGAGTGCCGAGGAAGAGGCTTTTTGACTTTTCCGCTCTGCGCGTCTTTCAGACTTCCCCGCTACGCTACGCTCCAATACTCCCCGTACTCCAGATACACCAAAGCACTTCAGATTTGTCGTGATTTTTGAGGGGCTGAAGGAGGAGAGTTGCGGAGTTTTGGAATTTAAGGGGGCTGGGAAGTCAAAAGAAGAAGATATTTTCTGTTTTACAATTCAACTGAGTGGAAAGAGGGCAAACTAGCAAAGATCCTTGACGGAATCTAGCAGAACTCGCTTTAAATGCTGGATTTTCGCAAAATTGCCAGCCGTTCCCACCCTCACACGCCATTGACCTAACCCCAAAAAAAGGCCAGCAAGAGGGCGGCCGTTCAGTGGATTGCGCCGTTCGCCTGGAGTATCCCGGGAATTGCCGTGGTCTGTCTCAACGGCTTTCTGCTGGTGAAAATGAGACAAAATGAGCATTAGCCCCGCAGAAAATGACAAAACCGCGCGGGAACGCCGACGAGGAAATTGCTGTTTTTTGCGTTCTTTTTGTCAAAATTTGGGTCCGGATCTTATTCTAGGTTTTCTAAAAGAAGCCGCAAGTGAGGAAATTTGGTTTTTTGCGCCTTGGGTGCAAAGACAGGGGTTGTTGCCAGCAGGAACAATCGGAGCAACAAAAAAGGAGCGACTCTGCCGAGGCTTTGAGGTGGAACGCTGAAATTTGCATATGAAAAGGATAGGCGTTGGCAACCTGGCCGCGCGAACTTCGATGACAGATAACTGTCTGGGAAAAGTCGACAAAGAAAAATCGTAAATGACTGGATTTTTAATACGCAAAAAATAGAGGTCGTATCGTTTTGGAAAATTCGTTTTGGGAATTTGACGGCCCGCCCGCAGGAATAACTGGCAGTTCGTCGAGGGGGGTGCGTGCGGGTGGGGGTTGGTGACGTTGATGGATCGGGGGTAATTAGCATGGGGTGGGCCCAATTTTGAGGGTAAGGAAATTCTGACGGATTTCGTGGAGACAACCCGAGACGGATTGCCGTGTTTTTAGGCAAAATTTCTAGCAATGACGGTGATTTTAAGGGGCGCGGAACCTTGAGGTTGATGGGGTTTTAACCTGGAAGGGATGGAAATAAGGGGTAAAATTGGCGTAGTAATTTTTACGGTGATTGAAAAAAATAGAGATTGTTGATAGCTCTTAAGGCAAAAAGCCAAATTGGCATAAAGTCCTTTAAAGAAGCTGAGAACTGTATATTTATGCAAATTAAACCAGGAAACGAGTAAAAATTAACGCCAAAATTTTATTCAGAAATTTCACAATTTTAATATTTTTAAAATCGCTAATATTATTTTTAAGGCAAAGACCGCCCTGGATTTATGCAAATTCGGATATAAAAATTTTTAAATTTCTGCTAAGGTCACATAAACGTAAATTGAGATCTTTCCAATTTCTAGAAATCGTGAAAATCCCCATTTTCTGGCTTCCCACACCATTTCTTAGGAAAGAAATGCATAAATAAAAAAGGCGAGCATGTGGCGTAAGTTTCCAACGAAGCCGCCACCAGGCCCGGCACACTGACTAATCCTAGTGTGACAAAACGCACGCCGCCCCGAAAATCGGCGGCCCGGCCCGGGACGCGGAAAAATGGCTCTATTTTTGCGGGGGAGAGGAGATGAATGGACGGGGCGTATAACGGGAAGATCATAGTAAAAAATCTGGTAGTTTAAAAATGGAGGCGAGAGAGAAAGAGAGAAAGAGAGAGAGAGCTCTATTATAGTCTTCGTAGAAGTTTAAGTTATCGTATCGACCAAAGTGAGGTAGAGAGCAAGAGTAAGTACGAGAGAGAGCGAGAGAGAGTGAGAGATAGAGAGAGAACGAGAGAGTGAGAGAGAGCGAAAGCGAGTGAGAGAGACAAGCAGAAAGCGTGAGAGAACCAAATCCCCAATTAACCAGTCGAGACAATAGCCAGAATATAGGGATTAACCCGGCAGAAATAGAGTGACAAGTATCACGGCGGAATTGAGGGGATTAATGGCAAGGACGTGGTGTATTGAGGAGCGTTCCGTACTGGTGCTCCCAACGGACATCAACCCTCGGAGAGATTATGTAATTCTTGGGGGATAGTTGGGTGACAACGCCAAGAAATTTGACAGATATGCATATTATGCAATTTAGGCATCTTCGGAAGAACTTCAGAAACTATAATAGCTTTACTTAGGCGCTGGCCTACTTTTTGACAGGCTTAGCTTCCGTTTGGCTCGGCTTCGATTTCGGGTTGGGCTTAGACTTGGGCTGGGCTTATGGCAGGCTTCGGGTTAGGCTTAGGCTAGACTTGGGCTTGGCTTAGGCTTGGCTTAGGCTTGGATTTTAAGCTTAGGTATAGTGGATAGTGAAAGTGAAGGCCTTAAAAGTGATGAATTTGCTGGCTGGTGCCCCCGGTTAAGTGCTCCCGGGCGAGATGTGTTATGCAATTTGCGCCTTGGGCGCCTTTTAGCTGGCGGGAGGAGGAGGCGGAGGGGGAGGAGAGGAGGACACGGGCAATTTGCATAACGGAATGAATGAATGAACGAGGTGGACTCCGGGAGAAAGTAGGGAGGGAGTGAGACAAATTCACTACTTCTATAGGGATTAGACGATTTTTTAAGTTCATACAAATCGGCAGAACAATTATATACCTAAAATTTAAGCTCTATATCAAGAAAATCACTAAATTTGAATTTGGGTATCGTTAGAATACTCCAAAATTCCCAGGGTATCACCCGAAGCGGGGGCGAAACTTGTAAAGCCGTAAAACGGCGCGTTTCGGGCTGATAAGTGTGCCACCAGGCATCTACGTACGCTCTCTGTTTGCGGTATCGGAATGTGTGCCGGACTAGGGGCTGTAAACACCTTGAATCAGTCGGTTGTACACCTAGCAGATGATGGGCAGGCAGATCAGGCTCGTCCCATACTGTAGCTGATACTCAAAAAGCTTGAATCGGCCAAAAAAATAGAATTAAGCCTAATGCACAACGAACCGCATAAAAATATTTTAAAGGACCTTTCCAGTCAAATCCATAGCCTAACGGCCCCAGATTCCCAAAATTTACTAAAAACGACGGGTTGTGGACCCCAATTATTTTGCATAATACAGCCGGCGCCGAGAACGGGCGGGTCCATTGTTTGAGTCAAGTGGATCTCACCCGGGTCCCACCACGCCTCGCCCCACCCTCATTATGCTTTGTTAGTGTATTCCGCGAGACTCCAAAAGACATTCTTGACCGAATGGGAACGTGGCGGCATCACCATTGTACCACTAGGACATGGCGGATCCCGGAATTCGCGGCATGTCTCTAATTAGGGGAACAAAGCCGGGCAAAACGGCGTAACTTTTGCGATTAAGGGGTAGTGTTGATACCTGATAGCTTTAAAGGAACAGTCAAGGCAGAAAAATGTCGAAACGACGAAAATATGAAATTCCGTACCTTTCCGAATTACGAATTCCGTATGTTTTGCTTAAAGTGTACAGTTGCGATCGCTTTAAAATGGGTTTAAGAGCAAGAGAATAGTTTTTGCAATTTAAATCCGCACAAAAACTTTCTCGCAAAAGTTAAACGTGCCCGAAAACCCAGATTTTACCATTTTTGCGATCAAAACGGTCTAAAAAAAGTTTTCGCAGTAATTATAGGGGATTTGAGATACAATTGGCATATCACATATTTCTAAAATGTTTCTACTCGCCTCAATTTAGATACCGTAACCTTGACCACCTCCAGGGACGGCCGTCAATTGTTTCGGCGTGTAGCCGGTGGGCAAGATTCCCTGCTAGAGGCCAAGGACCCCCATTATTATCACACTCCTTTGGCACTCGCTTGGGTGGGCTCTCAAATTACCGGGCGGATGCAAATTAGGCGGAATTTGAATGGTTCTAGAGCCACAAGGTTCAAAAGTAAAGCCTAAAATCGAGGCGGGTTGGAATAGCCTCTAAATCTCGTCCAAAACGAGAACCAAAAATCCGCCGCCAGGCTCGACTCGAATTTCACGATTTCCTAAGCGACTTTTGGGATTTTTGGGATTTTCGGGGTGGCGGCGAAACTTGAGAAGTTAGGCAGCCTGGTTTTGGCCCCTGGCTAGTGGTAGATTGGTCTAGCTGTGGGAAAAGGTGATGAAAACGTCTGAAATAACCCTTTAAAATTGTCTAAAACGAGAAAATTTAAGGGGAGCGTGACATCTGGACTCTAAAGCCCCAACAGCTCGAATTCGAGGAAAAATATTACTGCACTTTTTAAGGCATGGAATTTTCGATTGGCAGCAGAACGTAGAGGATACGGTAAGTTAAAACAAAAAATTACAATGATATATAATTTACGAAAAACTACTTCTAAAGCTACAACTCGACAACCACCGTAACCAAAAACCCCCGAAAAGCCAAACTTGGGCCCGCCGAAAACAAAGACCAAACCGAATTTCGGGGGGCACCGTCCGATCCAAGGGGGGATTCCAGCAGGGATGGGCGGGCCTTAAGGGGCCCATCTTCGG